ATTCTTCCTGGGTTGGGATAATGTTTTCACCCATTCTATACCAGGGATTTTGTTTACAAATGTTGGAAAACTCTTATTATACAGAGGCCTGAAAACATTCTATAAATGTTAGCCCACCTCACTATTTGACTCTTAGTTCAGAGCAGTTTGTTTTTCCTCACGACTCATGACTGCATAAATAAACCCATTGGATAACTTTTACAATACTTGTTTCTCATTAACAAACCATTGAGCCATCATGCTCACATAGGAAGTCTTACATCGCAGGGGAGTGTGTTTGCTGTATCAGTAAAGAATGCAGTAGAACACGTGAATAGGATATGTGAGTCTGCAACTAGAAGACTCTTCAGATATTTTCAGATATGAGATATTGATATCTAAATAGATTGTCCTGCAGCAAAATTGCACGCTTTAAATGTGAAGTGCTTTTGCAAAACAGTTTCAGTAATTTTCTGCTAGAACAAAATTTCCATTAAATATGTTTTAACTTGCATCATGTGAAATGTTTAATACACTGCTGGTATAGAGCATTGTTTTCATGCACAGTGATTTGTCACAAGATACATTGAGAAATTTAAGAGCAGAATTTCACATGGAAGCCTGTATAAATGAATGTTTATTTTAACCTGATCCTCTCTTTTCTCAGAAGAATGTGGCGTTGGTAACATTACTGACCCTGTAAAAGTTACTTTACGGCACCTGGTGAAGGGCTCTGATCCTCTCCCAGCTCAGTGGAACTTCAAGTCTTTGGAAGGCTACGGCAGTTGGAGCTCGGAAGGTTGTCAACTTCTCTCAGAAGAGCCAAACATAACCAGCATGCAGTGCCACCAGCTCAGCAACTTTGCGATCCTAACTGTAAGTGAACAAACCTTCCATATTTGTACAGGTGAAACTTTTCAAATACCCTGAGTTCCCCAAATGTTTACACCAACTATAATTATTAACTAACATTCAACATTTGCAAGTTACTATTTTATTCACTCCAGCAGTGCAATCTGTCTTTCTGCTTTATCATCAATGCTGGAATTCCAGTCTGGCAATTTAGATATATGCTCAGGGCATTTTAGAATAAATAGTCCTTTGGACAAATATGTTCTATTTCAAAACTTGTAGACACAGTAAATACCAAGTCCTCGGGTATAGGTTTGGAAGGGTAGTTTGCTTTTGGAATCATATTTTGCTATTTTTTCAAACCTTTATCAGGAAATTGCAGTTGCATACTATACGTCAAAAACTATGATGGCAAGAATAATTACATATGTATTTTATTGCATATAAGCCTTTAATATTTACAGCAATGAAACCTCACCTTTTGCATATCATTTAGAATGGTTTGTCTTTAGGATTGGCGTTTCTGCCTCATACATACATCATCTTGCCTTTTTCAATGAGTTACCATATTTCTCCTCCATTTCCTCCTCCAAAGGAGCTGAACACATTTTCACAATCGACTCAAAATGGCACTGAAGTTCTGCACCCTGTCATCTACTCCTGCACTGCCATCCTTCTCGTCTGCCTTTTCACCACCATCATTACATATATAGTGAACCACAGGTAAGGAGAACTCTATCAGTGAGTTGAAATGAATGGTATGGAATGATTTGGAATCAGTTATGCACATGTAAATAACTGATTTGGAATCAGTTATGCAATAAAAAGAGGACTTGAATTTGGATATTATAATAGTAACAAGTAGGCAGGTAAGGACAGAATACACTGATCAGCCACAACATTACATTTACTGATAGGTGAAGAGAATAACATAGATCATATCGTTACAATCAGTGGTGTATTTTGGATTTGTGCTACCCTAGGCACAACTAAATTTGGGCACCCCCCAAATATTAATTCCCCCCCCCCAATTCATGTCAAGGCCACTTTTTTGACTGACAGACACAGGCCCTCATTGATACATGCACTGACATACACTCAATTGCAGATACACAGTCATTGGCACACACACACTGTTTAACCAACACACACTTTCACTGACAGACACACACTGACACACACTCACAGACATACCCATCCTCACTGATTTGACACACTCTGACAGACACACACTTTCACTCACTCACAGACACACACTGACAGCTACACATGCACTGACAGCTACACTCACTCACAGACTCACAGAGCGTGAGAGAGCAAGAAGAGTGGAGGACAGCGCTTCCTTGCCACCTGGCTAGAATATTAGTAGTTTAACACCTCGGGGGTGGGGGGAAGTTTGCTGCTAATGACTCCTGTGGTATGTCCCATATACCACAGGACACGTTCAGAGGTCTTGAGGAGCCCATACCTTGATGCATCAGAGCTGTTTTATTAGCATCAGGGGGGCCTACACGGTATTAGGGAAATGGTTTTAATTCTATGGCGGATCAGTGTATATGCCAAAACTATACAATTATGCAAATTAGCTATTTTATATTGACATATATATTCTGTAAAAGCAGATATTGTGATTTGTTTCAGCACAACAACAAAAAAACATAGATCACACTCATTTTTTAAAAATATGAAAATAATACCAATACAATGTATTGAACATGACTCAGTTAATGAACAATATATTATGTATTCTCTGTAACGCTTCCTTCTTACAAGAAGTACAAGTATGTATTAGTTTGTTGTTATAGGGAGCAGAGGTAGAGTGTTTTTTTTGGCTCTAGAACTTTACAATGAGAAGGGAGGCTTGACTGACTGATACCCGCTTAAATAATGCTCTATATTATGTATCCAGCTCCATCCAGATATCCAGAAAAGGATGGCATATGCAGCTAAATCTTTGTTTCCATATTGCAATGACATCAGCCGTATTTGCTGGGGGAATCAACCTGACCGGATACCTTATTGTATGTCAAGCTGTAAGTATTAGTTAATTATCCTGGGTAACGTTCATGAATGTTTAAATAGCAGTTAATATTTCAATATATCACAGGAATTGGAGCTGCTCTACAGGATCACACTCAAAGTTTTGCTCATTGTACTCAGTCTGCTCTGAAGGTCTAAAGGTTTGTTCTGATTCCTTTATTTTTTTTTATATATACACAGGTCAGCATTATTCTCCATTACTCTTCTTTGTCAACCTTACTCTGGATGGGTCTGAAGGCAAGAGTCATTTACAAGGAGCTCACTCACAAACCTCAGCCACCGCAGGATGGGGAAACCGTTCAGTCTCCTCAGAGGCCGATGCTCAGGTAATTTTGAGAGCTGGCTCATAGAATGATCATCAGTGAATAATGATAAATTAAATGTTCCACTACTGCTTATAGATGGATAAATATTTTTGGATACCTCAGTTAGAACGTGAAATCGGATTAAATCAAAGCTTTAGCTTGACATATGGGCAGGAGGTGTTGGGTTTTCGATTATATGAATAGAGGTCAGAGGATCTTCAGTTAACCACAGGGACCCATCCTAACTCCATGGATTTGGAGTAAGGGATTAATAATACCAAAGACACAGATGACGATCTCCTTCACTACTTTCTCTAATTATACTAATGATGTACCAAGAGGTCCCCGGGAATTAAAATGTTAAAATATTATAAGGACTGGGCATTGCCCAATATCTGGTGTGTTAAAATGATCTGAAGATGACTAGTTTATAGTGACTAATTTTGGTAAATACATAGTCCCTGATCCCCGAACCTTCCTACCTTGCTGTAGCGATATTGCAAGGAATTTGACTGGCACCAACATTTAACTGCTTTATCAACATGAGTATTTAGAAAAACTGGATTGTAGACAGAATGGCTGAATAGAAAGGCAGTTGTGTGCTTAGAAAATTAGCAAGTGGCACATACACCATTTTACACTATGCTGAAAAGATTCAGTAGATGTGGCATGCCTTATTCTTGACATATTGTGGGTTTTGCAGGTTTTACCTGATTGCTGGTGGAATACCTTTGATAATCTGTGGAATCACAGCTGCTGTGAACATGAACAACTCAAGAGAGAACAGTCCTTAGTAAGTATCTCCCATTACCTCTATAACACATTGCAAAACACAAAATTAATAAAAAGCACAATAAACAAAAACATCCCAAACAGAATAATTTATCACCTGATGACTGTTTCAGGAAATCTTTGCCACTGGAGTTTTTAGTCCCTGTGCCATAGCAGCAAGGCTAATAGGTTTGGCGTTGTTGTTGGAGTTGAAACTAATGAAATTTTCTCAGTGTTTTTGCTTTGAAGAAAATTATAACTGACTAACAGTTTAAAGGTGGTCATACAAATCCAGCTGTCATTTATTTTAAAGGACCACTAAGGTAACCTAAACCAAGTGGTCTGTGTGCATTGGCCCTTTAGTTTTAACCCTGCTATGCAAAACGTTGTAGTTTTGTTTTGTTTTTTAGAAACAGCAATGTTTACATAGAAGGGTTAAACAAACCTCTAGTGGCTAGCATAAGACTTGGCAGCTTATAGGAAAGCAATACAATTCAATACTTTCCTATGAGAAGCATCGGATCCAAGTGAGGCCGAGAGGTGAGCGGTGCCGATGGAGTCTCAGCGCTGGACAAGGATAAGTAAAAAACAAAAGCTTTAAATAAAAAAAATATATGACAAATGGGGTGTTGAATCTATGTATGTACAGTGGCACTTTAAATTAATTAGCTTTTAACAGTATGATACTTCATCAATGTTTATCGGGAGTAACTGAACCAATATTCACAGTTTGAAGATGCAACCTGCCTTAGTATCTCAGTCAAATCCAAGTCATGTTTGCCAGCTTTCTTTTTAACAAAATATAACTTGAACCAAAAACAAAGATCCTACCTGTACATTTCCTCCAACTTTAAATGAGTTATCATCCAATTAACCCTCAAGCAGATTTTTGTGGAAAGGCCTTAGTAAAATTCAGGTTTCCATATGTCTGTGGTTAATGACAGTGATCGTGATTAGTAGAAACATTTACAAGCTATGCACTCATTCATTGCAATGTCATGTCCTGCAAAAGAAATGTGAGTGAACCTAAACTAATGGTGTCTGTCTCCACAGCTGCTGTTTGGTATGGATGCCAAGCCTTGGTGCTTTTTATGTCCCAGCTGCCCTTATACTCCTCGTAACTTGGATTTATCTACTGTGCGCTGGAATAAACTTAAAGCGGCAACCACCAGAACAGAAAGATCTTCCGGAACCCATTGAACCTCAGCAGCCACCTGGTGGCATTAGCCACTTGCTGACTGATTCAAGCTCAATATCTGTCACCATCAATTCTGCATCCCCACCAGCAGATGTAGACACAGTGTATTCTCTGGCTGTACAGTTCTGGGCTCTAGTGATCGTCCATGTTCTGTATATTGTACTCTGGATTTTTGGGGCTTTGGCTGTGTCACAGGATTGGTATTTCAATATAATATTCAGCTGCTTCTATGGAGTTATAGCAGTTGCTCTAGGACTTTTCATCTTCATTCACCATTGTGTACGACGAGAAGATGTTCAGCGCTCCTGGTTTTCTTGCTGTCCATCTCACACAGAACCTTTACCAATGCAAGCATATGTCCACGCTGGGTCACCCGTATATGATTCTCCTCAAGTCTACGCTGGATGTAATACAGAGGCGGCTAATTCTGTCAAGTTGTCGTCCTCACCGAGTAGCAGCAGTAACTCTAATAATGGACCCTGTAAAATCACAAACTTGCAGCTGGCCCAGAATCAGGTGGAGAGCTGCTCACCCAAACCAGCCAGCTGTGAAGATAGTGAACCTGCCAATAACAAAAATGTAACTGTACCCAGCAGGTACATGAATAACCTTCATGGGCGCAGGAATCATAAGAGCAGAAGCAAACAGTATAGAGAAGGTAAACACCATAGGTTAAAAGTCCTGCGTGGCCCCACTTCAGAGCAGCCTTCTAGTGAGAGTGGCAGTATCCATAACAGCCATTCAGAAAGCTACAACAGCAGGAATAGCCCTTTAAACAACGGAAGGACAGGGGGAGAAGCTAGGGATCCAGAAGGAGGCTTGACTCAGTCTGAAGGGAGTGATAGCAGTGGGCACCCGACACAGGACTTTGCCAAGGCCCAGAGGAAAAGTCCAAGTCGTGACAACCTTAAACAAGCTAACAGCATGGAAAGAGAGACCAAACGCAGATCATACCCACTTAACACTGCGAACCAGAATGGTGTCCTTAAGGGTAGCAAATATGACATCAATCTTGCAACTACAGAGACTTCAGCAACCATGAAGACAGGCCTCTGGAAAAGTGAAACTACTGTGTAGTTTGTACCTAGGCATTAATGGCAGGTGCCTTAAATGTCATATACAGAAGTGACTCCACAGTACACCTAAACATATGCTAGGAAAAGAGGCTCTCCCCAGTCACAGCTTGGGCTTAAACATTGGTTGGTGGAGATGACTTGGTTCCTCATTATAACAGGGAAGATGTGCCAAGGTGTATTTGGTTGTATAAGGGAAAAGAGCACACAGATGTACACCAATTTTCAATTATTGGTTTGATGTCTGTGATTTTTGCTTGAATGAATGTTATCAATATTTCAGATAATTTATGTAAACACATGAAGGATCTCATTTAGTAGATTCGTTACAGCTCTGGCTTCAGTCCAGTTGAGAACACGTGTTTTTTTTTTTTTTGCTTGAAAAGTACTTCAGCCTCAGTTTGCATCATGCAAACCTCCAGAATTATTATTATTACATATATATATCTCAATGGTCTATGCAACAATACTGGTGACCACGTTCTCAATTGGAGTCTAGTTACTATCATTCATTCACCCTTTTCTTGTTATGGCATGATTAAAAAGTCCCCAGTCTCATCATGAACACAAGTGCCTTGTAATAAACTCACCTGGTCTTTTTGAGCACTAGTAACAGAATTCCTTCTTTACAAACATCTCCAAGAATCTAGTGTGTTAATGCCTACTTCATTCCCATTACATCTTGCAAAACACTGCTACTTGTCAAAACCCTAACTTTTTTAATGTCCACAAATTGCTTTGGGTCCAATGTCCGTGGAGCGCTTTAATTAGCTCTATGAGTAATGTTCCAGGGATGTGTATTTTTCTTCATCAAATTCCACATCTAGAGGAATAAACCTAGTGCCTAAATCTTGTTGTGTATAAAGACAAATGATGGACTACGGAACAAGTATGCAAATGTGTGCACCTTGGTACTATCCACACAGACAATGTTTATCACAGGCAAAGATTCCTGTTCTTAAATCACCTCTGCATGGTCTATGCGTATTTTGTTATAAAAGAGTAAAATGTTTATTTTTCAAATATAGAATTATATTGAATATTGTATAGAATGATGAGAATCAATTTTGAGAACTCTGCACATATTTTTCTGTTAAAAGCATGGCAAGGAATTTTTTTTAACGTATAAACAAAATAAAAAGTGTACATATGACATATGTGTGCTTCAGACACCCAAACGGGCAGTTATACAGTAAAGTGTATATGGAAAGCTGTGTAGACAGGGATTGTTAATATTTCCAGACATTTCTACTTACAAACCGTATTAAATCAGTCAGATAGGAGTATGGTAGAATCCTTAGACTCTGAATGTCAAACAAATACTAAAGGGCCACCAATATACTGCAATTCCAGCAGAACACCAGCTACATTACACAGTTGTATAGGTTGAAAGAAAAAAAAAAAAAAAGAAAAGATACTAAAGTCCATCCAGGTCAACCCTAAAAACCATTAATTTATGCAGTTAAAAAATATATATATATATATATATATATAAATATATATCCATAGAATCTGATAAGAAAACCTTTTTGGTAGAAAACTCCACATCTTTATTGTTCTTACTCAAAATAATCCTTTCCCCTGCTGTAAGCAAAACACCTTTCTTCCAATCTCAATGGATGACCTCTTGTATGTTGTATATTGCTGAGTGTTGATGCAGTGATTACATGTCAATTTAAAACAAGTCTTAATGGGACACTCCAGACCCCTAGAGCACTTCAGCTTGCCCTTGCTAAAGTGTTTTATGTATGTCCTTTTTTTCATTTTACAAAAAGTGCAGATTTCAGTAGAAATTCACAGCTATTCCTGTTACCTCCAGGAAGTGTAACTGAATGGAGCAAAACTCAAGAGGCAGCAATTGCTCAGAGCCCCAGCTTTGCAAAGACTTCTCATTGAGAAGTCTGTAATTGGACAACCACATAGTGTTTGATGGTTAGGAGGGCTTGCAAAGGCTGCAGACAAGAGATCTGCTGCTTTTGAAACCGGTTTAGATATACTCCAATAAAAAAAATAAATGCATGCATGTTTTCATTCCCAACATACATACTAAACAGTGATTTTTATTTTATAAATGTTTGGGCAGTGGAGAGTCCCTTTAACACTCGATACGTAAAAGTGCCTTACAAGTTCTAACAGTGGAATATGATATACTTAAAGAAAAATAGTTTCATTTAGTTTGACTTTAATATGCTTTATGCTGACCCGCACCATAATGACAAATGTTCTTCGCACACAGAGCATCATGTCATTGTATCCATTCTTACTTTCCCATGCAGCTGCAGGTATTTGCAAAAATGGTTGCAGACAATACCTACATCCATAATTTGTGGTGGCACAGGAGTATAAGTTTTCTACAGTACAAGAGCATGTATGAGGTACACCTCCTAAATGACTTGCATATGCTTTCTGTGAGAGTTCCTACAAAAAACACTTGTGCATAGCTTGATCAATTAATTTATTCAAGATTTTTTTTTTTTTTAAACTTAGGACTGCTGTGCATGTGTTGAATAGTTAGTTATACACATCACTGTTGTAAAATAAAATACTGGGATGACCAAGAATGGATGAGAAAACTCACTTCTTGGTTTCTACAATATTGGACATTTAAATCTTTTTATGCTATCTGCCTAAAGTATAAAAATGCAACTAGTACCCACATTAAAAAGTATAGCAAAAAAAAAAAAAAAAAACACTTATAAAGATAACATTGTCAGCAGACCTACAGCTTAATGCCATAGTTCTGGCATATATAGCCTGCCCTGGCATTTTAATTTGAACACTGCCTTTTCATTACTGGCCAGGGACACCTCCAGTGGCAGTCACTCAGATGGCCACTAGAGGTGCTTCCTGGGTCAATGCATCTCTATGGGGAGATGCTCATTGGCGCAGAGCGGCTTTTTGCCACACATGCACGATCGCTTCCTAATGCTTATCTATTGCAAAGCCAAGAGGACGAAGTCAGCCACGACCAGACCAGTGGTACCTTTTTAACCGCAAGTAAGTGGGGCTAGAAGCGTAAATGGCTATTTAGACCTATATTGTCAGGAAAACATTTGTATTTCTGACACTATAGTGTTCCTTTAAAGTATTTTTTTCCTAGATATTTAAATTCTTTTCAGTTCCGGCTTCTGTTAAAGAAGCTCATACTGAAGTGGAATCCCTTGATATTTTACTCCCCAGATTTTATTTTTAATGAAAAGAAAGTCTCATATTTCTCGGCACCTGTGAGGAACCACAAATGTGGGATTATAGTTTGAGAACAGCAAGTGTGTCAAGCTTGAACATACCCGTTATATAACATCGGGAATGTTCCTTTCATTATTTAGTATTATTCTGCCTGTTAATTTTGTGTGGGCAAAACATATTGTGACAGTCTTGTTGACTTGTGTTTCATAGGCCTCTTATTTAACTCAAATATTTGTAGTAACAACATGAAAAATATACGTCAAAGACCAAAAGTAAAGCAGGGAAATGGGGTGTTTATTACCTACCAGGTGCCAAAAACTATTTGTTTAATGCTTTATAAGATATTTTTATTTGTATTTATATGAAATGTATATTCGAACTGTAGCCAGACTAGGATAACGCAAAATGTATCACACGGGACTGTGAAGGTCTGGCCAGTATAAATATTTTGCATTCCCTTAATATTGCAATAAAAGCAATTGTCTTATTATACAATCCCTTCATGGTAATAGTTACATTTTGTATGGCAGAAAGAGAATGATGATACAGTTTTGCAGAAATGATGATGTGAAAGAGAAACATTACCACTTACCAGTAAGTGATGCAATCATAAGGTTAGTGCCAAAATTATACACCACTGTGGGTTGTTTCCAAGGTAGTATACCTTGGACTGAAGTAAAAGTAAATTTCAAAAAGATACCTTCTATTTAATGTAAGTTATGGTGCTGCAGTACCACAATTAGGTCTGATCAAGAAGTTAGTATCAACAGCATTCTTTATTGCACTGGCAATTAGTTATCTAGTATTACATTCGATTGTTAATAAAACAATCTACTCAGATTCATTCACATTTCAAAGCATGAGTCAGTCATCAAATGTCTGCAAAGGGTATACTGGTGATCCAGTCTCCCTAATGACCTATCGCTCTTAATATCTAGATAACATGTGCCATATGAATCTACAGTAACGGAGTCCCAACAATCAATCATTCTTATTTTAGTCCACATATGAACCTTAGGATAATACTTGCATTATGCACTTAATACATATTTTTCCTGCAAGTATTAGATTGTTGAGAACTGACAAACATTTTTTATTGCTGTGCTTTTAAAGTATTTTTGGTCTTCAAAAGCCAAGTGAAAACACAAGGTTAAAATGCTTGCAACAAACCTGTATGAATAGGGTTAAGTGTACAGTTACCTCTAAATCTATATTTATGAGACAAACAACAGTGCAAAGTGTCAGATGTTGATTCAGTTAGCCGCTCTCCTTTTGAAGAACCAACCGTAACGCTATACCAAAGAAATGTCCAAAGTCTGTTTTCCATTTTAATGATTTATTTTCATTTTGTTAATAAAAAAATATATTAGTTTTCAAATCAAATAAAGTGAATGTATACTTTGTATCTTGTTTGTACAACATAACCAAGGTGCCCTTACATAGGGAACATTAAGGGTATATTCTGTATACATGTAAGTAAATAGGAGATGTCATGTCAGTATTTCTATAAAGCAAACCTGTGATCTCCATCCTGGATTAAAATAGCAAAACTGTGACTACAACAACGTTAGAGCAATGCTAAGGTTTAATTTACATAGACTGATTTTTGCAATTTGGGTTTTCCATTTGCTAGAATATGGTGTTTAGTGCATAAACCAAAGTATGACAAGAATCAGCTAGCCCACACACCCGCACAAAAGTAATGGAATAAAACGGCTGTGTCACATAACAGTGTGCATGCATTAGTGCTGGCAACAGTTTCTTGGACACAAACAGGATTTAATGAGAAACACAAAATGCGTTTACTAATGAAGACAGCTCAGAATAGTCCAGGGAGTACAGCTCAACTACAGATATCTACATTCATCTGTTTTTGGACAACTAGAAAAAAAGGGAAAAAAACCAAAGGACCTCAGCGCTGTGTTCCTGTAAGACTATGGCTACACTACACTTGATAGTCACCCATTTTCTATGTCTACAGGTTAAGTGAAACAGGTACCTGGACTTTATTTGGTGGCCCTTGTCACTACTGCTAGAAAATCTCTTGCATAAAGTTTATGCCAATTATTTCTTTGTCACTCTACTGCATTTTCCCCCCATCATCTTCAGGAGCTGCACATTTAGTCTGAATAATCAGAACAGTGTGGTTCACATATATGTATTGTGTAAAATTAAAGAGCTGGCAAGATTGAAGTGTGTATTTTGGTCAACTACAAAAGCATTGAACACATTGACGACCCATTGTCATCCTCACACGATTACTATTTTTGTTCCCCATACCTCTTCCTAACCCCACTCTCCCACTTCTACCAGCTGCAATTCCTTTCATTTTTAGTTTTTTTGATTTCTTTTCTATATATTGGGTAATCATTTGGAATGTTTCTCTAACCCTTCAAAAGCCGGCAACCCCTCCGAAAATAAAATGTACTTCTTTTTATCCAGCTTTGAGAGCTCTCATTGCTGCTCTACCCCAGTATAAACGATCTGAGACAAGGGTATCTAGAAAAAAGTGATGGAAATGCCCAGTAAAATGCTTCTCATAGCCATGCATAAACTAATACTAACCTATGGACTTACAGCTGGGAGGTGTTACCAAGTTGGCCCACATAAATTCATTTAAAAAAAAAAAAATATCTGACGGCCAGGAGGGTGCAACAAGGTTAATTTAAAAAGTGCCAATTTCTATTTTAATCTGCACTTTTTGCAAAATGGAACAATGAATTAGGACACACAAACTTCACTGAAGTGAAATGATTTACGGTTCAGGAGTGTCCCTTTACGTGTTTTTGTGGTTTGGAGAGTCCCTTTAACACATCTGTTTTCAAGAAAAACTCTAGTTGAATATATAAACTATTCAAAATGTCATTGTTACTGTAATCATTTATTTTGTTAAAAAAAAAAAAAATCCTTTTGAGATATTCTGGAATTGAGGTAAAAATATGGCCATCGAAAGAAAAAAAAAAAATTTTTTTTTTTTTTACCGTGCATCATATTAAACACTAGGTACCTGAGCAAGGGCATGTTTAAATTCCTCAATTTCACTTGGTGTCCTTAAGTATTGCTCAATCTCGCTATCAGAGATATCCTCTTCCCCTGTAAGATTCTGAGGGCCCGGAGGGAATGCCATTCGGTAGCTTCTTTTCTGAGGGTTTGTGATACATGGTGGAAGAAACGGAGATGATTGGCTTGCCTTCCCAGTGGTGGAATAAGTTTCAGAATCTGTGGACATCTTGACAGTCTCTGTGGCTGCTAGCGCCTGTCTCAGAAGGTACGAACGGTGCTTCAGGATGTCACCTAGGTGGCGCACTACAGTGTTCTTATTTAGGGAAAGCATTTTCAGCCAGGGAAGCTGGTTGGCCAACTTAAGGAAGATTTCATGAAATTCTTTTAGTCTCTTCTTTGATGGAGGTGGCAAGTCCACATCAGATAATTTACAGAAGCGGACAAATGTACATGACAAACGCGTGGATGGTTGCAAAGACTGCCAGGAAACATAGGCAGCTGCTGTAACGATAGGTATAGGGTGACGTCCAGTAACTAGCCATGTCTCACTGGCCAATTCCACTGTTTGCAGAGCCCTCTCTAAGACCTTATTGAGATCTTCTACATATGCTGGAGGAACCGAAGAAGAGTTTTGAAACAGCTTGAAACTGCAAGGAAAAGATAAATACTAATATTACAAAACAAATTACCATTTTTATTTGGTGATATGAAACATGATAGAGGACACGTGTAGCCAACCTAGAACATGCCAAGTGTTGTGGAATGCATCATCTTTTATTCTCTTACAGCCATAATGATGGAAAAGCATCAGAGGACATGAAGTCCACATCTGTGCCAAATGTTGCCTATCACTGATTTAGGGATTCCACGTGTACAACTGACTACGCTATCACCAAGAATCCACATAGAGGATTATTATACTCTGAATCCTCAGTCTAGAAAGCTATTATAACTTTAAACACAGGGGACTGCGAGTGCTTAAGTGCATAAGGATTCAGAGACTAAGTGCTGTGTTACAGCTTTAACAACTTATTTTCTTGCTGGTAACATTACAGAACATTACATTGCTGAGCCTTTGTCACAAAAAATCTATGAAAACAGTTCTGGTCTACTGTAATGCAATGGACAGGTTATCACTTGCATACATATGTAGCTAGCCACTTGTATGCCCACCAATTACTGACTTACTCTTCCTGCTCCCGCAATGATGTAGCAGTTAAACGTGTGCTTACTGCACCACAGGCACCTGTCTCCCTGTTCAACACAGTTTCTACTTTTGAAATATACGTACTTTAGTTGGAGGCTAAGAAAATTAAAAGACCACTATAGTGCCATGAAAACAAACTAGCTTTCCTGGCACTATAGAGTGTTAAGATTCCCCCCCACCCTAAGGGTCCCCCTCTAGCTGGGCTGAAGGGGTTAAACACCTTTCTCCAGCACCAGGCAACTCTCCTCCTGCCGACGTCAGCGCAGAATGCGCATTCGCGGCAAGAGCCACACACGCATTCGAACAGTCCATAGGAAAGCCTTTCTTAATGCTTTCCTATGGATGTTCAGCGTCTTCTCACTGTGATTTTCACAATGAGAAGCTTGGAAGCTCCTCTAGCGGCTGTCAGGGAGACAGCCACTAAAGGCGGAATTAACCCTAGTGTAAACATAGTTTCTCTGAAACTGCTATGTTTACAGCTGCAGGGTTAAAACTAGATGGAGACAAACAAATTATTAGAGTCTCTACTAAATGTGAGACTCCAAACCTGGTTTTGATACACAAGTTAAAGAAGGTAAGTATAACAGCAGAAAATAATAAATTCTTTATTAGTATATATAAAAATGAAAGGCACTATACATGGAGGACAATAAGCTTGATGGCCAGGGGTATATAAATCATCTGGAGGTCTCAATAATGCAATTCAGGCCTTTCAACTACTACATATGTCCAGGTTAGTGGACACTAAACTCACTCTAAGGAGAGCCAGATAATGAGAAAATTCCAAAAAATGATTGGTAAACTAATTCAGCTCATCCAAAAGTAAACTATTCAACTAACCAATGGAAAGGTCTGTAAGTCATACACACTAGCTATTAAAGATAGCAGTGACAGTAATCAAAGAGATTTTAAAACTGGCAATGTCTACAGGAAGTTTCAAAGGAGAAAAAGGGTAGATAGGGATCAGGTGTCCACCTCCGAATATGAAACTAATGGGTCTGACACTGATTCCCAGCCTATCCCTTCAACCTCAAAACAAACAAAATAGAAGCATCCTTAAGAAAGGAGTTACTTTTTTAGAAATGAGACAGGGCGGGGAACACCCCTTGTTGAGACCAAGACCCAGGAGGAAGTCCAATCGGAGACATCGATATTAGAGAAAGATCAAGTTGTGAATTTATCACAACATATCTTGACCCATGTAGAGTTAGAGTTGCTGAGAAAAGGTTTGTCCTTTATTCCAGTTCCACGGTTTGATAAATTTAACTGGGTAAAGGACATCCACTTATTTGTCCGGAAACTCATACTTCATAAAACTTACGTTTTAAACAATGAGAAAAAGGCCAAAGCATTGGGGTTGGAACTTAAAGACTACCAGCTTACCTTAATGTTAGCAGAATTGTTAGAAGAAAGTGACCCCTCTGAAAAGGAACAAAGTCCACTTACAGAACTTAAACGAAAGAGCGAATATTGCCAAAGACTGGGAGATTCTAAGTACGTAGAAACGTTTGTAGAAATGGTGTGCAAAGAAATAAATCATCGGTCCATTCCTAAACTTACCTTTAAACCTAACTCCAATTTATAATTTAAAGAGGTACAGGCTCTTAAAAATTTACAAGCAAGAAACGAGATAACAATTAAACCTTCTGATAAAGTGGGAAATACTGTGGTTCTCGATACTACTCATTATGTCTCAATTACCAAGAAAATTCTTACCGATATCACAACATACAAAATTCTTAAAATCAGACCCGACAAAAGTATATTTAGAAAAATTGAAATATATTTTAGGGTTTAATGGATAAGTTGATATCAAAGCAAGAATATGATTTCATGCTTATTGTAAATCCATGTACCCCTACCTTTTATAGCCTACCCAAAATTCATTAAAAAAAAATCATCAAGAATTATCGGTTAGGCCTATAGTATCGGGTAATAACAGCCTGACACAAAATGTTAGTGTATATTTAGATCATATTTTAAGACCTTTGGTGGCTAACCTTCCCTCTTTTTAAGAGACACCAAACAAACCCTATCACATCTAAATACATTAACTATGTCCACAAATTCTATTCTCTGCAGTCTGGATGTGGAGGCGCTTTACAGCTCGATCCCCCATACCCTAGGGCTTGAACATACACGCTATTTCTTACAACTGAAGGGCACACAGCTTCATCAACACAGTGATTTTGTCATTGAATTGCTACATTTTGTGTTAACACACATTTTTTTTTATCTTTGATGGCACATACTACCACCAGGTGCAGGGTACGGCTATGGGGACGTCTTGCGCGCCCTCATATGCCAACCTGGGAAGAGAAAATAGTGTTTGCAGACCACTCCAATGAAATTATTCGATATATCCTCTCTTGGAAGAGGTATATCGATGACATTGTGATTGTCTGGAGTAGCACCTCCAAAGACTTCTCCCTTTTCGTAAAGCAACTCAACAACAATGACCTCAATTTAAGATTTACGTCCGAAATAGGGCAACCATCTCAGTTTCCTTGACCTTACCCTAACTCCAGAGGCCAATGGTACTATTAAAATTGACCTCTTCAGGAAAAGTATGGCTACCAATAGCCTACTGAATTGAAGGAGTCACCATCCAATCCCTCTAAAAAGAGGAATACCAATTGGACTATATTTGCGCCTTAGGCGAAATTGCTCCGACATAGAAGATTTTAAGACAAGAGCCAATGAATTACGCTCAATGTTTAGAGCCAAGGGATACCCCTTAGATAAATGTCTAAAAAGGGCATACCATAGAGCTCTATTCACTGACCGAGGGGGTCTTATCAAGGAAGATCCGCTCCCTAAAAACCAGACCAATTTTGACAATTGAGATGCATTGCTACTTACGATGCAGGTTGGGAACAAGTCAAGACCATCTTGAATAGATATTGGCCTCTGCTTAGACAGGATGAACATCTTAAAGAGGTGATTTCCCCACATGCAGCTTTAGTGGCACGAAGGGGAAAAAATATCAAAGATGTCTTAGTACATAGCCATTTCAAACGATCGTCAACAATTTCTACACATTGGCTATCAAATAAACTTTTGGGGACTTATAAGTGTGGTCGCTGCAAAACGTGTAATTACATTTGCAAAGACTCAAAAAGTTTCCAAAATAGCCTACGGAGTGATACTTTTTATCCAAACTCTTTCTTTAACTGCAACACTAAAGGCTTAGTCTATTTAATAGTATGCCAATGCAATAAGATGTACGTAGGTAAGACATTCAGGCCCTTTAAAAGACGGATCTTAGAACATATAAACTCTATTAAATCCATCAGACATATAGAAACCTCAGTATCCAGACATGTCAAAAATTTTCATCAAAATGACCACTCGGTACTCAAATTCTTGGATATTGAACTGGTCAAACTTGACCAAAGGAAAGGAAATCTGGACAAACTTCTGAGGAGAAAAGTGTTTCTGGATATACCGCCTTAATACTTTGTCACCGATAGGATTGAATGAAGGATTTACCTACTCTCCTTTCATCGGTGATCTCTAAAAATTACATTTATAATACTAACCACAAGTTTAGTGGGATTTCCAGTAATTATTGTGACCCATGAAATAGTATTTTACCCCTTTTTCTTTATTTCCCTCCTTTTGTGAAATAATATTTTTCTCTAAAAGAGACATGGAAGGTTTCAAGATTTGTATTAACTTTATGGGACTTATTTACCATTTTCATATTATACTGTGACCGTTACATAGATGGTCATAATACTGGAGATGAATTATTTATATATATCAAGCCTACCCCTACCCAGTTGACCATTAGGCTCTAATTCTGAGGCTTCTAGGCACTTACTTCAGTTTGTCTTTGCATCTGTCCTATTCAATGTGATGTACCCCTCTAGATATCGTTTTCCTCTCTTGCTATAGTTTGCAAGATTTATATATGCAGGATTAGATATATACAGAGTACCTGCATTTTTTCAGCATCTGACTACCCAGGAATTGTGAATGATTAGGATATGTTCTGATAACATCCCTTAGGCAATATGTATCTTTTTGATGCTGCATTTTGACTAAAGTCTCGGTCATAGATTGCAAGATTCATTCATGCAACATTAGTAAGACGTTGATTATTGCCATATAGTTAACATCTGACTTAAAATTTATGATTCATTATATCATACGCGTATTTACATTCTTTTAGATGGGACGAGCGTTTACTATATTGTGGGATAGTTCATCCTTCCCAGACTCCCTCCCCTACCCCTTGGGGCAGTCAAAGCAACGGACTAGTTCCCATCCCTAATGGGAGGGCTTAGCCTCAGGATGGGACATCCCTGCCCACCTCTGACCTCCCCCCCCCGTGGTGAGTGACGATGCGAAAAGGGGGAGGAGCCTTTGTCTGGTGACAGAAGTGTCGGCATTAGTGATGCTGCAGAAGGGGGAGGAGCTATCTCCTCCTCACTTTAGATTTGCCGGCTTTCCATTTTTTGTCACGCCTACCCACACATCTGTAGATTGTCACTTGGGCGATTAAAAGATGATGCCGATTGGGTAAGGATGGCTTTATATACTTACCATTGAAACCGAGGTACTCTTAGCCCCTGACGAAGGTGCAATCACACGCACCGAAACACGCGTCGGGTTCTTTTTTTGTTTAGCTTTTCTAATCACTATGGGAGCACGAGGAGTTTAATATACACTTTTACTTTATTTTATTTACAGCTCAGATTTTTCTTTTCTTTATAGACTTGAAGGCTTTAATGGGGTCAATTTACGATTTTCTAGTGTCATACTTAGGGACAGCATAGAACACCCTTGAAGGTGTTTACGTAGGAGTCATAGGGTCTAACAGTAAAGAAATTATAGAAGACTGAAAATGTCTGCTTTTGGGAGCCATAGGCTTGAAGAGTCCAGCATCCTCTTTTCTGTTTAGCTTCTCTGCTATATTCTATGTGAGTTGTTGACTATTGAGGATTTCATTAGTTATAAGTCTTGGCAGAGCCCTTAATAAGTCTATTTACCTAGTGTTAGATTCTAGATACAGTCTCCAATTTTTCAAGGATTGCTGTCCCGGCTATCTTTAATAGCTAGCTAGTGTGTATGACTTACAGACCCTTCCATTGGTTAGTTGATTAGTTTACTTTTGGATGAGCTGAATTAGTTTACCAATCATTTTTTGGAATGTTCTCCTTATCTGGCTCTCCTTAGAGTGAGTTTAGTGTCCACTAACCTGGACATATGTGGTAGTTGAAAGGCCTGCATTGCATTATTGAGACCTCCAGATGATTTATATACCCCTGGCCATCAAGCTTATCGTCCTCCATGTATAGTGCCTTTCATTTTGATATATACTAATAAAGAATTTATTATTTTCTGCTGTTGGCACTTCTTGGAGCTATATGTAATGACGATTTGGGCTATATTCCGAGCTTCTTTTCAGGAGTCACTACTTGTATTATACTTACCTTCTTTAACTTGTGTATCAAAACCAGATTTGGAGTCTCACATTTAGTAGAGACTCTAATAATTTGTTTATGGTCTTTTTCTTAACAAATATCTGGTTATGCCCTTTTGGTGGAGCTGGTACCACCATCTCAGACCTCTGTGTGTCATCTTTTCCTATTTGGAAAAATGTTTACACACAACGTCTTTGTTTGAATTAACACTAGATGGACCTTGCACCCAGACCACTTAATTGAACTGAAGTGGTCTGGGTGCCTATAGAAGTCCTTTAAGCAAGAGTCCAGCAAAGAATACTGCCTGATTTCTGACCTTGTAATTAACTTATTACAGATATATGCATGGTAAATACAGCTTATAATATTCCAAGCTTTTTTGTCATTGATATTATAAAAAGAGTAGCGCTGGGTTTGATGTCCTATATTTTCATTACAATTTTAAGTTTGTGAAAAATGTTGAACAACTTCTAATTTTAAATTATATTCATTCTAACATTTTTCTAAAAATAATTGTGCTTTATATGTACAAATATGAAAAGGAAACTTCTTTGCTATCTGTAGTGCCCAAAGTCTGAGAGAAAAAAGAAAATGGTCTATTAATGTAAATACTCTTTTTCCCAACTACCTGCTTACTACATAAGTAAAAAAATAATGAATTAGAGACTAATCATCAAAGGAACACTATAGGGTCAGGAACACAAACATGTATCTAGCCCGAAGTAATGACCTCAGCCAATCCCAATAATTTCCCATAGGAAAGCATTGGATCGGATGAGGTTGTCAATTCTGGTGATCTCAGTAAAGGAGACTGAGTCAAACGCCACCCTGGCCAATCAGCATCTCCTCATAGAGAATCAATGCATCTCTATGAGGAAAGTTCAGTATCTCCATGTAGAGGGTGGAGTGCAGCACTACCCAGGAAGTACCACTAGTAGCCAAATGAGGAGTAGCCAGTAGAGGTGTCCCTAGGCTGTATGGTGAACCCACCTCCTGTCTGTTATCTTTACTATTCACTTCACAGGGTGGAGAGAACCCTTTGTTGGTGATTTGCTGCCAATTATAGAGATCGAGCACTTATACTCACCAGTTTTTCCATATCCTGTATGGTGAACCCTGCCTTTTCTCTGAAAAGACTGTTTACTGCAAAAAGCCTGCATGGACTGACAATACACCATTAAGCTGTAGTTGTTCTGGTGACTATAGTGTCCCTTTAATATACATATATATTTCCCACAATACTAAATGAAAGAAACACTATACCTTGTGCAATGACTTTTCACAAGATCACAGAGGCTGAGCAATGGTACATTCAGTTTCAGTGTTTGAACAACATCAGGGTAAATGCTTGCAAATATTTCTTTCTTGGTGTATAGCAAAGAGCAAATGGTTGCCATGGTAAGAGGCCACTGGTGCTGTCTGCAAGTAATGTACACGCAACATCCCATCACGGCTTCCTTTTTCTGCGTAGTGATAAAGTGATAGGTGGGATGGTTGAAGGCCTGTTCATAGTAAGAAACTGCAGTGTCTGTAAAGCTGTCTGGCAGTCTCAGAACTCTGCAAACATCCCTTACTCGCTTTATGCCTGTGGAGCAAAGCCGAAAACATGGAAACTGAGTAATCTGTCACACTTTGCACAGCTAATTCTTAAAGCATTAGTAACACATTTTTCACGATACAGAGACACTAGGCACCATAGCCAATACTCCATTATATAGTGGTTATGCTGCAAGTAGGTTCCCAGCCCACTGGCTCTTTTTTCCCATTCAAAGTTATTTTACAGGTTTTTGAAACTTCTAAACAATTTCCAGAGTTTACTTACACCAGAATCAGTGGGAACTCTGTATAAGAGGTTAAAGGAAAACTACCATGTAAGGAATACAAAGCTGAATTCAAGACACAATAGGAACCCTCTGCACCCCCCTGTCCCCCTCCGGTGAGGTAAAGGGTTAAAACCTCCTTTTTGTTTTTTTACTTATCTGATTCAAGCGCCATAATCCCTCAGCACTGGGTCAAGTTGCTCCTACGTCAACCTCAGCTGATAGGGGTGCTGATTGGGGTTTTCCTGTTGGGTTTTTAATTAATATGGACGTCCTCATGCAAAGCGTGAGGATGTCCAGCAGCGTTTTATGGAGTCAAACTCTGTAAAACAGCAGGAAGTACCAGACAGACAGCCACCAGAGACATTCTTAACATTGCAATGCAAACATTGCAGCTTTAAGTTTGGATTCCAATATTGTTGAATGGGTAAGGCAGTGGCTGAATGACAGGCAAAAGAGGGTTGTAGTCAAGGAATATATTCGAAGCTTGGACTTGTCACCAGTGGGGTACCTCAGGGATCTGTACTTGGACCCATTCTCTTTAATATTTTTATTAGTGATATTGCAGAAGGTCTTGATGGTAAGGTATGTCTTTTGCTGATGATACTAAGATATGTAACAGGGTTGATGTTCCAGGAGGGATAAGCCAAATGGCAAATGATTTAGGTAAACTAGAAAAATGGTCAGAATTGTGGCAACTGACATTTAATGTGGATAAGTGCAATATAATGCATCTTGGACGTAAAAACCTAAAGGCAGAGTACAGAATATTTTATAGAGTCCTAACCTCAACATCTGAGGAAAGGGATTTAGGGGTGATTATTTCTAACGACTTAAAGGTAGGCAGACAATATAATAGAGCAGCAGGAAATGCTAGCAGAATGCTTGGTTGTATAGGGAGAGGTATTAGCAGTAGAAAGAGGGAAGTGCTCATGCCATTGTACAGAACACTGGTGAGACCTCACTTGGAGTATTGTACACAGTACTGGAGACCGTATCTTCAGAAGGATATTGATACCTTAGAGAGGGTTCAGAGAAGGGCTACTAAACTGGTTCATGGATTGCGGGATAAAACTTACCAGGAAAGGTTAAAGGATCTTAACATGTATAGCTTGGAGGAAAGACGAGACAGGGGGGATATGATAGAAACATTTACATACATAAAGGGAATCAACACAGTAAAGGAGGAGACCATATTTAAAAGAAGAAAAACTACCACAACAAGAGGACATAGTCTTAAATTAGAGGGACAAAGGTTTCAAAATAATATCAGGAAATATTACATTACTGAGAGGGTAGTGGATGCATGGAATAGCCTTCCAGCTGAAGTGGTAAAGGTTAACACAGTAAAGGAATTTAAGCATGTATGGGATAGGCATAAGGCTATCCTAACTATGAGATAAGGCCAGGGACTAATGAAAGTATTTTGAAAATTGGGCAGACTAGATGGGTTGAATGGTTCTTATCTGCCGTCACATTCTATGTTTCTCTAAAACTGCAATTGTTTACAGTGCAGGGTTAAATGAACGGGGACCGTGCACACTGACAACTTCAATGATAAGCAGTGTTCTAGGTACCTATAGTGTCCCTTCAACTAAAAGAAATGTCTTGACCTTGAAGAGGTAACTTTCTTATCCAGAGTTCAGTACTCACATACTTTAAATCAACACAATACAAAGTTCCCCAATAGCATGATGGGAGACTAAAGTTAGTGTTGCCAGGCAAAACAAAGACATATACACATACATACTACTGCTGCGGGACTTGCAAGCTATACATTTCACTTATATATACATACATTTCTCAAGCAGTTTTGTGAATGGGGAACCACATCAGCTAACCATGCTAAGAAAAGCAGTGGGGCCCCTGCCTGCAGAAGCCCTATGTTTGCATTTTGATGCTTTTCAAGAAGTGGATGGTGAAGGGGCAGAGTGATCTGGCGCTGAAGAGGAGAAGATGGGGTTAAACCATTTCAATCAATTTGCTATGGTGGCTAAAGGAACAGCAGGACTTACCTCGAAGTTTGCACTTGCTTGTTGATTCACGCTCTCCGGTACTCTCAGAAAACTTCACCGCTGTACACAAACAATAAACAAGACATATTTAGGTTGATTTTAATTGCATTAATGGATATAGAGTATTTTCTATTTTAAAAAATTCACAGTATTCTTAAAAAAAAAAAAAAAAATAATAATAAATTCCAGTCAGCTCAGAATGAGAGCGTTAAAGGCTGTATTAATTTTATGTTTTGTGTGTGGTGGCCTAATGCTATATGCACAACTGTCCGAGCTCCCTTTCCTCCAGCTACAATTTATACGAAATTTTGCAAAGGTCTAGCTTTAACACCTTAAATGGACACTATAGTCACTCAATGAAGCAGTTTTGGTGTATAGATCATGTCCCTGCTGTGTTACTGCTCAATTTTCTGGCATTTAGGAGTTAAAACACTTTTCATGCAGGCCTAGTCACACCTCCCTGCGTGTGAATTACACAGCCTACCAGGCTTGAAGACGACTTTTGGTCGCCTAAACGAGGCAGTACGTCCTCACGCTATGAATGAGGACTTCCAGCGTCACTGGAATCCCCACAGTAAAGCACTGAATAATGCTCTCCTATGAGGAAATCCAAATGCGAGCGAGGCCATTGTGCGCATTAGGTCTCCCCCACCAGCGGACGTGGGCGGAGCTGAACCAGCATCAAGTAACATCGGTGATGGACCCAGGTAAGTTACAGAAGGGGTTATTAACCCCTTCTGCACCACGGGGGTGAGCATTGACAAAGGGGGAAGCTATAGTGCCAGGCACACGCGTTTGTTTTCCTGGCACTATAGTTCCCCTCTAACAGAAACAAAAGTGAATTAACTTCAGAGGCTTGATTTGTACACAAAAACTGCTTCATTAAGCTAAAGTTGTTTTGGTGACTATAGAGTCCCTTTAATTGACTCCTTCCAGTGTTGTCTTAGAAATGCAAATAAATAATTGAAATAATTTTGTATTTTTCTTTAGTTGCACTTGTATAGTATTAAAAGCAAAACTATGAATCTTTTCGCCATTTAAAAAAAAACATTTAAATCATACTTAAGGTTGCATCAGGTATAGATATACGTTATCAGAAAGAAAAGAAAAAACAAACAAAGCAAAAAAAACAAACCTGTTCTAAAATGTATAATGCAATGTAATGTATATAGGTGCACTTAAATCAGTGGGGAGATTTGGGACTAAATATATTTAGTTGTGTGTTTTTTTTTTATAAAGTGGCAGAGCAACTTTAATCAGAATGCTTTACCTTTATGCCTTGAAACAAAATAATTATTCAATAAACCTTGTTTTAATCAAAACAAACACCACACTGTGATAGCATAGCACTATGAGAGTTACAGGATACACGCTATGTGGGATTATAATACAGTATACACACCTTGCTGAAAGCCCTCCTCTGCCTGGGTTGTTGTCAGCAGTCCCTCTGTCAATATAAAGCCGCAGGCAGTGCACACCAGCTGGTCCTGGGAGTAGTGAGCATCCTCCACAACATCACAGGAGCCACAGTCAGGGCACTGCCTGGGGCCCGACATAGCCAAAACAAAAACGCTAGCTCTCAGTATACACACACAACTAAAGACAACAGCGTCTCCCAATTACTACGTCACAACATCCAGACATTACCACGGAGACCGAGCCCATGGAATGGCTAATAAGCACTAGGCTACGCAAAAATGGCAGCCGAGCGCATAAAATTGACGTAAACAGAACTATAGGTAATATGGAGGGGTTTCAGGTTACGTCACTTCCCACCGAAGAAAAAAAAAGGCGCAAAGGACCAAGGGATTGAAGCTGCGCTCATATAGGCAAGGGGTGCTTGTGTAGGAGTGCCTGTGCTGGTACGTGATTGACTTACTGGACTTCGTCAGCAGGTGGCGCTATTAATATTGATAAGTGAAGGCTTCCTTTTATAATAAAGCTGTGTTGCTGTTCTAAAGGATTGTATGTTATGCTAGTAGAGGTTGTAATCTTCCATAATATGTCCAACTAGCCATTCACGATCAGTCACGCAAATGTTGTATGTAGATCAAGTATAATTTCATACCTACCAATGTTTTAAATGGACAGAGGGAGACTTTACTTTTAAAGATGTGGAGAGTGGCAGGCTGTTTTGAGAATTGTAGGTGACTTTATGTAACTAAAATGTAAGTTAGAGCAAATGCAATTTATTATTTACAAAGAGTGATTACTAATCACATCATTGTGGTATAAAGACAGATTATTATTATTACTGGCATCGATATGGCGCCAACTTATTCCGCAACAATTTACAATGTTACAGAAAGGGAAAATTTTACAATAAATGAGACAATTAAAGAATGATACAGGAACAATAGGTTGATGAGGACCCAGCTCAAACACGCTTAGGCTGTGGAGCTCTGTTATACTCTTAGACCAGGGGTTCCCAATTAATTTCCCCCGTGGAACCCTTTGACAAAGTGTATCGTGGAACCCCCAACTCGATCCCCCCCCACGACAAAAAAAAAGCACTGTTTTTTGTGTGTGTCAAGGTGTGTGTATCAGTGTTTGTATGTGCCAGTATGTGTATCTGTGTGTCAATGTGTATCTCTGTGTGTGTATCTGACACACAGATACACACACTCAGATAAACATACACACATCTTGACACAGTGTCATACACACACAAACACACTGATATACACTGGCACATACTCACACACACACACACACACTCAGATACACAAACCTTGACACACAGATACACACACTGACACACTCAGACACACATACTTTTTGACAGACACACATACACTCTCACTGACAAACACACATACTCTTTTACAGACACACATACAAACACATATACTATTTGACAGACACACAAATACATACAAACTCCCTAACAGCCAAACAGACAATTTATTATTATTTTTTAAAATTTTACTCCACCCAGCCTTACCTTTGGAAGTGCTGGCATGGAGTCTCTATGTCACTGTGGTCCAGTGGGGCTGCTGGGCTGATCGTGGGGTCTAGTGGGGCTGTTGAGTGGCTGGTGTGCAGTGCCTGGGATCCAGTGGGGCTGGTGAGTGGCTGGCTTGCAGTCCCTGGGGTCCAGTGGGGCTGCTGAGTGGCTGGTGTGCGGTCCCTGTGGTCCAGTGGGGCTGCTGTTTGGCTGGCCTGGGGTCCAGTGGGGCTGCTGAGTGGCTGGTGTGCGGGTGGCGAGGGAGCAGTGATCTCCCTGCTCAGCTCCCTCACGTGCCTCTTAGTGATGCCGGAGCCGGAGAGACGTCATTTTCTGGCTCCGACATCTCTGCTGTGCGCGCGAGGAAGCTGAGCAGGGAGATCACTGCCTACTGCTCCCTCGCCGCCCACGGCCATTTTGTTTTTAGAAATTTTGGCGGAACCCCATTTGTGTTCTCACACCAATTGGGAAACGCTGTCTTAGACACATCAACAATATACAGTATGGAGCTCCTAGGACAAAGGGACAGAGGAATTTGGGCCAAAACTATTGACTGTCCATGCTAAGTAGGGATACTTGGGAGGTATGAACATTTTCAGCTCTGAGTCCCTGCAGTATGTAATCCAATGCTCTACTTATCTATTTGTTTACACTTGGTGGAAGGTGGCAGCTACTTAAAGGAGCTCTCAACCCTCAAAAAACAAAATCTTAATTAAGTTGTATTGTGAGCTGAAGTCCCTTGGCATCATCTTACCTTTTGGTGGTAAACCATTTTGACCAGTTTAATATCTGAATTGGTCCTAGGTGACTAGCTGCAGTATTCGTTACCATCTCTGATTAGCAATTATGCTAAGCAAAGAAGTAAAGCATTGGGTATCAGCCAGGCCCGCATTAGCCAGTGGGCAAATTCCCAGTGGGCCGCAATAACCGTAGGCCGAGGCCTGCAGGGGAGAATGGAGGAACACTATCCAAGTGCCGGCACTGCTGTGAGACATAACTGTCCATTGGGTAGTTCCAAGATCTCCCTCACCGGCCCACATGCAGTAAAATGCAGCAGCCAACAGGGGAAAGAGACAGGAGAGGAACCGGAGGGGTATAGGGTGTTCTAGCCAACAGCACCATATTCTTACTCTTGCTACGTCGGAGCATTGCCACGGTTACCATGGCAATGCTCTGATCTTGCTATAGTGAACTTACATAGCTGAAAAGAGACATGCGTCCATCAAGTTCAGCCTGTCTCACAAATGTTTTTGCTGTTGATCCAAAAGAAGGCAAAAAACCCAGTCTAAAGTGCTTCCAATGTTGCAACAAACTAGGAAAAAAATAATTCTTGACCCCAAAATGGCAGTCAGATATCTCGTTGGATCAAGAAACTATTACACCACTAATTAGAAATCAATTAATAAAAAAAAAAAAAAAAATAGATTTGCCTGCTCCCACCTGTCCCCCACACACAATACCCCGTTACACACACACTACACTCCTTTCACACTGTCAGGATTACTGAAGATGCCCAACACGTAGAACTTAAGTAGATAATAAGAAAATACCTAAGACGTATTACCGCGCCTTAGAATGGGCGGATTTAACGTATAAAGACAAAAAACCACAAGGCAGGGTAAAGACAAGACGTAGAAATAACGTGAACGATGAACAAGCCAGGGGTCAAGGAATGGAGAAATCAGAATAGTCAGGAGCCAAGCCAAAGGTCAAGGAATACAGAGATTGGATAGTCAAAAAGGGAAGCCAAGGTCAATACACAAGAATCAACACAAGACATGCGCTCTCGGATAACCAATATGGGAACCATGACAGGGCACAGAGAAATGGACAAAACAGGTTTATATAGTCTAAAGTGCTCCTGATTGGTTGCAGGGAAGCATGTGATCATGGGTGTGTATAGGAAACACCTTCAATATATTTACTGATCTGGCCCTTTAAGGGTTAAACATGGAAACCCTTATATTCCTCCAAGCTGCAGCGGCCGGCCGCTGTGAGAGGAGGAGGAGGAGAGCCACCAAAAGGGGTGAGTAAAGGGCGGCATTCCCATAACCACGTGGGAATGCTGCTGGACCGAGATGTGGCGGGACCTGACAGGTAGGAGACCGGCAGCATTCCCCTTAGTCTGTGGGAATGCCGTTGCAACGATGCGTGCACTGCACCACTCTCATACATTTGAATCCCTCACACACATGATGCACCCCTACACATTAGTTCCCCTTTAGACACAACATACCTTATACACACTACATTCCAGGTATACACTGCACCACTTACAAACACTACATTCCAGACAAACACAGTACATCCCTTATATACACCCAGATCTCCAATGCTTACAGTAGATCTCCTGTACGTAAGAACATACTACCTTAAACATACACTTTCTACACCCCTCTGCACGCTCTTGCTATATCCTCTTTGTACACTATGCTCCCTATACACACACACTCTCACTCTGTACAGCCCCTTGCCACACATTTTACACCACAAACACACAAACCGAAACCGAACTATTTACACAAATAACACCACACAACAACCAGGTCACTCTACACACACGCAATCTCACAAGCAGCCTCCAAACACATGTATAATATGCTTTCCTGACCCTTTTGTCATAATGCTCGTCTAACGGTTGTACTTTGGCTTAATGTTATAAAAAGGATTATTCACTAAATTGTGTGGGGGACACCAAGTGAATTCAAAGGGTTTTTTTTCACTAAAACTATAGCATATTGAAAAACAAATTGCGAAATTCAGTTAAAACAGCAAAGCTGATAATATAGTTGAGTGGCAAAGTTTTCATTTTTTAAAATCAATTTGGTTTTCGATAGTGGGTGTGGTGGTTAGAGTTCTACTTCATGGACAAAATAAGTGACGTGGTAAAATTGTCTAAATCATCCATGCTTGCAGTTTGACTATTTTAGTTTAAAATGAAAATTCATATTGAATTTATTTTGATTTACTGAACATTCAATCTGAATAAATCTGATAATATAAATGTATAAATACAACAATGCTCTCATAGACTTATGAGCTGCAGAGTCACGTAATGTCACAATTATATTCAGCCCAGTGTACTTAGAACCGCAGAGATTTTATTGTAGTATAATAAACATTGTCATTGTTTCATTAGCTTTTTACAACAGCTGGGATTACTGCTAATCACTTGAAAATGCTGTTCTCTGCTCTTCCGAATACTATCCTGGATGAGTCTATGCATGGCTTCGGAGCACGTAAGTTGATTAGACACCTGAGAATAAAATTCTCATGCTAAAATGTTTAGTATTCATTTTCATGTATTGAGAAGTGTGTGTTCCCCCTCCCTCCCCCCACATAAAAAGGTGTTTAGAGCCACTTTATATGTGTTTTATAAATACTGCCTCCCCCGTACTCAGGTTTCTAACCTTTCTCCTTTCTAAATTGATTTATTTAACAGCAAACGGGTTATTATTTACTAAAATATGCAGAGTCAATGTAAAGCCAATGCAGATGAAGGGTGCAAGATTTTAGGTTATCCAATCATCATATTTCAATGGGATGATACACGCCTGTTTCATGCTGGGGAACATATGCAGGTTATTCACTAAACTCATAATTTTAGTAAGCTAAATCTAAATTGTAAAACTGAGTATAAAATAGCCGAGTTGGAATATTCTTCCAGATTAGTTATTCTACCCCCCAGCATCTTTGTGGGTCTCTTTCTTGTCCCCAAGCCCACTCTTTGTCATCCCCACCCCTTCTGTGCACCTCTTATCCCTTAGCCCTCTCTGTGCTTCTCCCCCCTTAGCCCTCAATGT